CAATGCAAGCAAGCCGGTTGAAGTATCATCTTTTCACATTAACTATGTCTCAGCTCAATATTTCTAAAACGAATCACAGGATCTCGTTTTGGAAGCAGGAAAAAAGGGGACGGGATGCCTTACAGATCGGTGAAGGTCAGCTACCTAGAAACAGAAGAGGCTCCGTTCTCTGCAGAATTGGCGACAAGACCTGATGCCGAAGGAGAGATGCCGTGCAGTTCCGGAATGCGGACAAGGCACCCTGACCTGCATGTACGGTTCCGTGACCTTTGGAGCCACTTGGAGGCGCTGGTGCCCAATGAGTTTGGTGTGGTTGTTCCTGTTGTTGCCGGGTCCTTCTTTGCATCTGCTGAAAAATGATAACTTAGTAGTGGGTTGCAAAGGATGTTCACTCGACGGACTCCCTGTGGTGTAGAAACTTAATAGTGCAGAACACAGCTGAAATTGACATGTGGCGTGACTTATTTCTTTTTTCTTACTTATTCCTCCCATCTTTTTAATACATTGGTGCCAAAATCGTGCGAAATAAAAAAGTCCTTTGGGTTGCGCATTGAGCTGAAGCGTTTTCAGGTTGTCCAAAGTATGAGATGGAACGTTCTGAGTTGATGTTGACAAGATACTTGTTTCCGTCCTCATATAGGCATCTACTGTAGAGCCGTGATTCGATGAATGTGAGGGCGCTGATGGTTACCACTGTTATAGTCACGTTTTGCCATTGAATGTTCTTTTGAGCGCCACCAGTCTTGATTGTGCGAACAATACACTCGTTGAGTAAAAGCGGGTTGAAGTGTATCTACACCACCTTACTTAAAGATAATTTTGCATAAGCGCAGTCAGCTTTTCATCGTTATACGACCTCTTTGGCGCCTGATGTCATGTCGAACCAAAATATTGCGGCACAATCGGAAGACCCCGCGCAGTGCTGCGACATCCGTCCTCACTGAACAGAAGGGACGCTGGCACGTCTTCGTTCACACGCCTGGGGACCAGAAGCCGTACACGCCGTATTGTTTATTTGTGATGCAAGGACTGCTTCTTTGTGGCCATGGTGGCGTGCGGAATTATAATGCAGTGTGAAGATTCAGTCCGAATTAATTCATTGGATGCATTTTTAGGATAAGCGTCTACACTGAGCAGGGCTTGCTCATGATCCATGGCCAAATCGTAAAACTTTGGGACAATGGCAAAACTTTGCAGCGAACGCTTGACGAGCCGCAGTGCTCGACACGGTCCATCCTGCCTTCTGCCGTTACCTGACCGTTAGCGCGCCCGCTGCCACCGGCTGTGGACGAACCCAGCAGGGAACAAATAGCGAAAGCGCAGAGCGACACGAACTCACCCCGTCACAAGCCTGAAAGTACATTTCGGGACAGGACGATTCAAAGTATAGTTTGGGAGGTGTACTTAAAAAGGGCATGTGACTGCACTACAAAAAGATTGGCAAGGCATGGAATCGCCACGTTTTTGTGCGGTGTATCCCGGAGTGGGGGGGGGGGGGGGGATATTGGGGTGATGTCTATGACTCTTGTGAAGGGATTTGACCATGAGCATAGCTCCCAAACGTTGAGGTTCATCAATAAAAACAATTTTTTATTGCATTGCTTAACCACTGCCTTCCGATGTACCGACGGCCAAATATTTTCAACATGAGAACAACCAACTAATTACCCGAAATGCCAAGAGCCAAGGCCTTTCTTGTTATATCAACTCCCAACACGTGTCAAAAGGCTGGTCACGCTATTTTTAAAACAGTCACTGATGAACAATTCAAACACCAGTCTTTTGTATTGCATTCCATTCTGAGCTTTGCGATGAATGGGTTTGCATTTCCTCGAAACGGAAAATAATTTCACAGCAAAACTGGAAAGCGATGAAATGTATCTGGTTTTACTTTTGCATTGGGGACGCTATCTTAGGTAGCCAAATCCGCGAATAATTAGGTTTCGGGGGTAGGTTAGGTCAGCCTTATCGTCACAGCCCTCCATACCGATCCTATACAGTGACACCCTTACTTTCAGGGATAGTTATGACGATGATTCCGAAGGTCTTGATCGCATGGTCTTCAGCAGACAGTTTATTTGGAATTTGTGAATGCCAAAATAGGCTACTGACCTAAAACGGACCCGATCAATCTTTTGTTTTTAGAAACATCCGTCTGGCGTAATCCGTGATGCTTATCTAAATTCAAAGATGAAAAGAATCTCGTAGTTTTTGGTCACCGTGACCTTCTGAAGGTTAAATAAGGTCACTGACTCAGGTTTAAAGATGGCTGAGATCTAAGGGTACTTCGGGTACTGCTCTGGAGTTTGACCTTTTTTGACCTCATTGCGTGAAGAAAGTAATGATCTAGGAAACTAAAAATTTGGCGGAAATGAGTTCACGTACAGACCCTACTTACTCTAGGAATTAGGTGTCTCTAGTTCTCTTACATGTTGAGATCACAGAGGTTCAAATTGATTCGCCATTTAAGCGCGTCGCATTCAACCGACCACTCGGGCTCTAGTTAGATATCGGATATCAGGCGTTGTGATTATAACAACACCTGTATTTGTTTTACCGAAAGTATCATACCACCGCGAGCTGAATTCTGCAAGAGTCTGAAGTCTCTCCATCTTGCAGAATGCTTGCTCATCCTAAAATATATTTGTTTAGGCTCAGGTGTGAGTCTCAGATAGAATACTTGAGCTTATATTTGAAACAGCTTTCAGAGACAGACGGATGTGTGTGATAATTCTATTTTCAGTGACGGGGAAATAGTTCGGATGAATAAAGTAGTTCGGTAGTTCGCAGGAAATAGCTCGCTGAAGCAATGGGTGTAAAAAGACAAACCAATTCATCTATGTTCCAGTGAAAGTCAAAAACTGAAAATTTTGTCTTTCGAAGCCCTTCTGCATAGCTCAAAATTTCGATTTGAAGTGGTCGACCCTGCGGGAGACGTCTCATTTGACACCCTGCTCACCACCAGAAAGGGAATCATTTGGTTTGTCATGGATTTCCAGTGTGCACGTTCTGTGATGCATGTAACACATGAATGTGCTAGCATATTTGCGCAATAAATGCTACGAGAGCTTGAAACATTTGCTTGAGCAAAAGAGCATGCCAATATGAAGCCTTTATCCCGCGAATCCAACAAAACGTTATACTTTGGCTTTGAATCCTCCCTTGCGGTGTTGACCACTGAGGCTTTTTTCGAGACGCACTTTGGCTGTGGGAATAGGAGTATCACATGATCCATGTTACGTGCTGATTCAAATTTTAACCAACAAACTTCCTGGTAACAGGCTCTTACCCGTTAGACCAATCACAAACGTTCTCTTATTCGCAGCAGTAATGGTACGCATGGTCGTTGTCATGAGGACGGTGGTCACGACTGCTGAGAAGCGTAGTACTGTTACAAAGTGTTGGCAGCGTAAATTTGATTAAAAAAGAATTGAAATTGATATCCTTGTCATGCTGTGAAGGTGATGCCATGACATCACCCATTGCTATTATCAGGAGTAACGAGTCCTGAGGCTTAACTAGGGCATGTCTTTTATTTGTTAGATATGTCCCAAAGGTGGGGCACTCCCTTTAAGCGCGGGTGCAAAAACGTGCACTACACACCAGACACAACCTTTCGACGAGACGCATGGTTACCATTGAAGGAATCAACTGTGGCACATCGAATGTGTGGTGGTCGCGTGGATGGGACCTGAGAATTGAATGCCTCCGAGCAGGAATTTTGGAGTTTTACAACATGGAAGACTTTTTATATGGCCTGGGCCATCATCATGTTGAAATGCAAGAGGGACTGCAGGAAATGTGGGTGGAATCGTGAATGTGTTGCGGTGATGACATGGCCAGGTTCTGATAGCTGGGTTGTGTGCAAGGAAGACTTCTAGAGTATGAAATGGTGAACGACTTCCGACCAGACCTCGGGCTACAATTTTTGAGAATGTAAGAGGGGATCAACATTTTTTTAGGGCCTTGAGATCAACATGGGGAAACACGGGCCGCATCCGTGGTCCTGGGGAAAGATGCTGGACTCGTAATCCAGCGGCACTGGGTACGTGTCCCAGAGTGGGCGCATTGTTTGACCCGACTGAAACGGAAAGGCCAGCTGGCAACTGGCCAACGAGGCTCAACCCAGACCCGAGGCGGCCGTGTCGCAGCATTGTGCGGCACGTAAAACCCTCCGCATTCCTGTCCGGCGAAAGGGCGGAGGCAAAATTAGCTGTTGAACTGGACGGCTACGCTTGGGTGGTGGGTTCGGGGTACACGCAACAAGCTATGCTTAGCAGGTACTCTGAATCCGAAATCACCCATACAAACCATTCGGGATAAATTTATAAAAAACATTAGTGCATGAAATTTGTAATGCTTTGTGATGATGGCACTGTAGGTTCTGAGCTATGATTTATTCGCGGGGAAGCATTTTGGGATGCGGAAAAGTGCGGCGACTATCGACCAGACCTAGGGCTGACATTTGGAGCTATGAGCAGTGATTAATTATGCATCGAATAGTGAAAGTTTTGTGACGATCATTCGGGTAAATTCGGAGTACTAAGCAGTTTTTTTGCGAACAAAATAATTGTAACTTGGTAACATTTAGGACTTGACCCGTTTAGATTCTAGAAATAACTTTATGTTCACCTTTTTAGAGGTAAGCGACTTACGACTGCACGAGGAAATCAACCATGGCACATCGAACAGCGCGGCTTTCGTAACGGATAGTATTTCGGTTTTCGGATGGTATCTGAATTTTCTGCTCTTTATGTGGACATTTTCTGTTCCATTTTCGAGTCACTTGGTCCTAAAGGAGAGACTGCAATTAAATTTCCACATTTGGAACGTCATCATATATCGTTTTGTCTGAATTGCCAAGCGATTATATGAGTAGTTTTTGAGAGAAGTATGCTTGCTAGGTACGTTGGGCAAACAACTTTGCAGTGTTTTTGGATGCTTGGAGCCCATCCGTTCTATTGGTTCTATCCTTGGCGGGTAATTTGAGGGGTAGGCAAAGATGTTTCGGGGCCGAGCTATGCGCGTGGGCGGGCGTTTTTGAGAAAGGTAAATATGAAGGCCTGTTTAAACAAGCTTAGCCTCACATGGGCTGCCGATGCAGTGCATGTTTTTTCATAGTGTCTCTGACAGCCAATGCAGTCTTTACAAGCTACAATACAGTATCAACAAAGCATCAGGGCTAGATGTACCTAAGCAGGTGTCCTAGTTGTGGAGCAGGTGACGGCAGCCAGGTATGCAGAAACGTGGGGTCAGTGACACTTCCAAAAATTGGTTTTATTCTTTTTAAGCCATTCTAACACTTAAGCCTAGCTAGCATGGTGTCTCCTTTGGTCATTGAGGCAGGGTACTAAGTGGGAGTCTACTTGCCTGCTTGTGAATTTGCTAAAGTAAAGGGTGGTAGTGTCTGAGTTATGGGAGTTAATTGGTATGTTTGGCTTCAAGATGTTTAATTATGCACAAAGCTGAACTGGAAAGAATCAAAACATACATGCTACTTGTGATTTTCCACTGTGACGGGTCTGACTGGCGTGCATGGTGAAGATGACATTCCTGAATCCTGTGAGTGCATGCCAACTTTCTGCCACTGTGAAATTGCCTTTCAATGTTGTAGTTGTAGAAGATGTAGTTGATTCATAGTTGACTTCATTTGCACCTGGAGTCAGGTACAAATCTGGCTGAGAATGGATCTGACCTGGGTGGTGTATGGCAGCTGCTGGTCAGGAAGGGAAGTGGTTAGTGGGTACCTACATTTACAAGAGAAGTGCTGCCAGCTGATTTTGGGGATACAAACAGTTGTAGTGTGAGGTCCTTCGGCCCTGTACAGTTTCAGTTTTTTATAGAATTTGAGGATTGCCTGAGATGAGCACCACTATATTTGTTTCCTGTAAACATCATCAGAATGAAATGACAACAGGGTAAAAAGAAAAACAAGTCATACTGCATCTCCAAGCTGAGATGAAATGAGACAACAAATCACCACAGAAAATGCTATCCGTGCCTTTCATAACCCACTGAACGTGCCCAGTTCCACTTCATAAGTGTTCGGCTCATAAATCCTCTCCTAAGTTTCAATTCAGAACATCTGTCTGGATCGGATGGTTATGTCAGATGCCAATAGGATGGCACGCAAATGTAAAAAACGTGTCCACAACTGGCTGACCAGTCTCTATGATGAAACTGAATTCAAAGACTGTATTCGACCTTTTCAGCCTTCATTGGTGTGTATGAGTGTGCACCTTTAAAAAATACGTGACCTGCAGCCTTACGTTAAACTGGGGGTGGGGTTTGGATTATCTCAGGAATTCCTAAATTTCCATGGAGTCTGGCTGGAGTGGGGTCCTTTGACCAATTTAGTCTAGTTGATGTCTGACTTCAGTTGAGCTATTATGCATGTTTGTTTCAAGTGTATATATATATATATATATATATATATATATATATATATATATATCACTTGAAACATATAAAGCCCACGTTTCACGGCGTACTTGGTTGTTTGTCCAAGACTTCGTATCGTGCGTTTGTCGTTTTTGGTGTGTCGATGCGAAATGTTACCAAAGTTCATCTAGTTCATTCAGTTCAAAGTTCATTCTAGTTTCGTTCAGTTAATAATCATTTTCAGAATAATTTTTTCACTTGAAACATTCAGCCACAAGCACAGCACATATACAAAAGTTCGATTTTATCCATTCCCACAAGGTACATGGAGGCGATGTCCTCTTTATTCACTATCACGACAAATGCACCTATCTTATCATTCTTATTGTTATTTTGCGAGGAATAAGGTTGTTAGTACTGTCTTATCTTAATTCACTAATACAAAAAGCTTGATTGAGGCATCTGAAAACTAACATCTGCGTGCTGCATGCTTTAATCCCAGACACACTTCCGGTGGTTGAAATCTTAGTCTCACATATCAAGTTATCAAGTTAAAGGGTCACTGGTCCGGAAGGTTTGCATTAAGGAGGTGGAAGGAGGACGGTGTTGTATGTTGATGATGGATGCCATGTCTGATGCATAATGTTCCAAGTGTTGTAAGGCGTCCATGGTCTGGTGTGCGCAAGGATGGTAGTGTACATAACTAACGTATTTCTGGTGGGTTGGGTGTTGTGATATATGCGTGCATGTGTTTTCGGCGCTCCAACCGCAATTGCATGGTTAGACGTCGGCTGTGACTTGTTGCAGTCAGACCAATGTGGTTTACTTTACTGGTTTCACGGTCCCTGGCAGTACAATGTTAACAATAAACTACACTGGTCTGTTTCCCGTTATGTTTGTTTTAAATGAGGTTATCTTTGATTACCAGGGAAAATGCTGGACCTTTGTGGTACATAACAAATCGTAAGGTTTTTGGTTGATCAATGGGGGTGCAGTGTTTGAGGACATTATCTCGCAATACTTTCTCATCGGTTGTCTAGGATGGTGTGAAAGTATTTTTTTTTTTGTAAAAATATCCTATGTTTCATTACGGTCACGAGAAGCATAAATGTGTTGTTTTTTATAGCAAGTGATCGAGTAAGCATTTCGTGATATCGTCAAAGTCAGTGTTTAACCATCATGGTGAGCGTCTGATGCAGCCGGTCTAGCTCCTTATCGAAAGAATTCCACGAAGAACAATTTTCAAAGTCCTGCGGATGTAAGCCCGCGTAACCCCTTTCTTATATTTATCTGGACGGTCATTATTATCATTCATGCATCACCCTGGAGGGTGGCATTTCTTTAAACATAGGTCTGAAATGCATTATCTGTTGAGACAATCAGGAGGTCTAGAGATGGCAGTTTGTTCCGTACACTAAGTTCGACCGTAAAACGCACGCCTGAATTTCGCAGTGCAAACTCCGTAATACAAACCTACCGACCAGTAACTTTTTAACATGATTGGTGAAACTGTGAAATTTCGAACCATCGGAAGTGTGCCTGGATTAAAGCACGCAGCATGCAAATGCTATTTTTCAAATGCCTCAACATAGGCGGATTCTGGGGGTGGGCGGGGCCATGGCCCCCAAAAAAAGCAGAGTATGTTTTGCCTCCCCCCTCCAAAACGTTCCCAGAACTTCATAAAAATTTCGTCTACTTACCGTCTGTTTTAACTTTGATGGTGCGGCATCAGACATAAACCACACCTGACCAGTTGACTCTTGAAAGTGATATCTTATGTTACGAGCTTTGTAAACATGCATGCTGTGTATACAAGATTCAAAAGCATTTCGGTGCTTGAATGGTGTCCCTACTAGGTACTTGCGAGAGGCACCATGCGCCGGACCTCGGATCCCACACGAGCCAGTTGGCGACGACCGGTTGCCCCCTCCCTCCCCAACCCCCAACCCCCCCCCCCCAAAAAAAAAAAACTCCAGGCTAGATCCGCCCCTGTGCCTCAACCATGTTTTTTCGTGGGAACAAGATGAAACCGAACTTTTGTACGTGTGCTTCACTGGTCACTGCATGTTAAAAGTGTTATCATTATCTTGAAAATGATCACGGAACTGACAGAAACGTCGAACAAATGATTAAGCTTTGGCAACATTCTGTATGGATACGCCGAAAACGACAAACGCACTATACGAAGCCTTGAGCAAATGACCAAGAAGGCCATAAATACGGAATTTGCTGTGGGGTGCAACCAACAATGTATAAGGGAAGCCCTGCCCCTGAAGTACTCATATGTTCTAACAGCTTACATGATTGATTAGCAAATGAGGTATGAAATGCCTGCAGTAGCGTCCGGTTATCAAGACGTGTTCATTACCAGCTGAGATACTGGATGGAATGCATATTGTTTAATATGTGGCTGCCGACATCGATTTTATCGGAGTAGATTGTCATTGGATCGCATACATCTGGTTCAGAACATCGTGTCATCATCATCACAACATCGTGTCGTGTTGCTTTGTGTCAGACTCGAGATCGAACTGGGGGGGGGGGGGGGGGTAGAGTCGATTTCGGAAAACACAATCAAGCGCAAGTCTGATGTGGTGATTGTTTAATGATGCACAAGCATCAGTTGGATATCACTTAGATCCTAGCCATTTGGTAGCATTTTTGTGATTTACCACAGTTTATTAACTCCTTCACCACTCAGGGTCATAGAGGAAAAATTGGCTTAGTGGAGAGGCGCTCATGGTACAGGGAATATGGTCTTGTTTACAGCGTGTCATAACTCGGCTGACGGCCCCGTTGCAGACCTCTGGAATCCATTTTTGTCTATGGACGCTGTGTCCATTGCATATTTTGACCGCGTTTCCTCATTTTGCAGGCACCCAGGCCAGGGTCTTGGTGACAATGGCGTCCTCTGGGAGCGCTTCTGTGCCGGTGGGTTACTCCCTGTATTTGGATGGCACTGAAGACATGCACCCGACTGAAGTCATCAATCAAGTGGAAGCGCTGACGGCGTTCGTAAGAGCGCAGCAGTACAACCTTGACCGAGTCGCTGCCAGGGGGTGTTTCAGCGTAGACTACCCAGCCTTGGTAGCTGATCCGAGCCTGCGACAAAAGTGGCCGGATTTGGAGACATCCGTCCGCAACAATCCACACCGCGTCATCGGCCTACTCGGGATGTCAATGTATCAGCTGCTGGATGAGGACATGGCAGCAGGCTGTGATGACACAGTGTCATTGAGCAAAGTTCCGAAAGTTGTGGCTCGCGTTCAGGGGTTCGTTCCGCTGACTAGGGTTCGGAATATAAAGTCGGCCAATTATGGGAAACTTGTGTCCGTGAAGGGCACCGTTGTTCGGGTCAGCAACGTCAATCCTTACTGCTTGAGCATGTCATTTGAGTGCAACTCCTGCTATGATGTGAAGCAACACACGCTTCCTGATGGCAACTACCACGTCCCTAGCCGGTGCGATAAGTGCAACGGCCAGAATTTTCGGCCTCTGAAGTCGTTCAAGACCACCAAGACTGTCGACCGTCAGACGTTTCGGCTGCAAGAGTTCGTGGACGAAGATTCCACGGACAGCGGCAGAGTGCCCAGGACTATTGAGTGCGAACTTCTCAACGATCTGGTAGACTCGTGCGTGCCTGGTGACATTGTGACGGTCTGCGGCATAGTGAAGACGTTCGATGATCCTTCAGGCAAGACAAAAACGTCCAACAAAAACATGTATCTGCTGTACGTCGCCGTCAACTCCATCAGCAACGTCAAGTCTGGCGGCAGCAAGGGCACGAGCGGCATCCACTTCACCAAGAAAGACTACTACGCCATCACGGAGCTTCACGACCGTGCGGACACTTTCCGGCTGCTGGTGCACTCGCTCTGCCCGGGCATCTACGGCCACGAGATGGTGAAGGCTGGCCTGCTGCTGGGCCTGTTCGGCGGCACCACGCGGCCGGCCGGCAGCAACCAGGACCTGCACGTGCGCGGCGACCCGCACATCCTGCTGATGGGCGACCCAGGCCTGGGCAAGTCTCAGCTGCTGCAGGCATGCGCGGCCGTGGCGCCGCGCGGCGTGTACGTGTGTGGCAACACCAGCACCACGTCCGGCCTGACGGTGACGCTGACGCGCGAGAAGCACAACGACTACCTGCTGGAGGCGGGCGCGCTCGTGCTGGCCGATCAGGGCTGCTGCTGCATCGACGAGTTCGACAAGATGAGCTCCCAGTACCAGCCCCTGCTGGAGGCCATGGAGCAGCAGAGCGTCAGCATCGCGAAGGGCGGCATCGTGTGCACGCTGCCGTCGCGCACGTCAGTACTGGCGGCGGCTAACCCCAGTGGCGGACACTACAACCGCGACAAGAGCCTGGAGGACAACCTGAAGATGGGCGCCGCCCTGCTCTCGCGCTTCGACCTGGTGTTCATCCTGCTGGACCGGCCGGACGGCCAGCTGGACAGCCTCGTCTCCAGCCACATCATGGCTCTGCACGCCTCCAGCAGCGGCCGCTCATGCTCGCTCGACTCGAGCAGCACCGCCGGCGACACCGCCTGGGATCCAACCCGACCTCTGGCCGAGCGGCTGAGCGCAACCTCCGCCGACCAGACGCCCACCGTGCCCCACGCCATGCTGCGCAAGTACGTGGCGTACGCGCGCAAGTACGTCCACCCTCGCCTGACGCCCGAGGCGTGCCGCGCGCTGCAGGACTTCTTCCTGGAGCTGCGGGAGCGCCAGCGCGCCGCCGACGCCACGCCGGTGACGACGCGCCAGCTGGAGAGCCTGATCCGGCTGACGCAAGCGCGTGCGCGGCTCGACCTGCGCGAGGAGGCGACGGCCGCTGACACGGACGACGTCATCCAGCTGGTGCGCTTCTCGGTGGCGGCCGGTGGCAGCGGCGACGAGGCGGCGCCGGCGGCGGCGCGCGGTCGCGGCGGCCGCCGGCGCGGCAAGTCCGGTCGGCTGCGCCTCTTCCTCAGCGCCGTACAGCGCAGCGCGGACCGCCTCGGCAAGAGTGTCTTCACCGAGGAGGAGCTGCGCCAGCTGGCAGGCCAGGCGGGCGCCGGCGCCGACGACTTCCGCGAGTTCCTCGACATGGCCAACCAGGCGGGCGTGGTGTTGAAGCGCGGCCCGAAGCTGTACCAGGTGCAGTCCGAGTAGGGCCGCCGCGCCGCCGCTCTGGCGCCGTCCGCGGCCCGAAGCTGTACCAGGTGCAGTCCGAGTAGGGCCGCCACGCCGCCGCTCTGGCGCCGTCCGCGGCCCGAAGCTGTACCAGGTGCAGTCCGAGTAGGGCCGCCGCGCCGCCGCTCTGGCGCCGTCCGCGGCCCGAAGCTGTACCAGGTGCAGTCCGAGTAGGGCCGCCGCGCCGCCGCTCTGGCGCCGTCCGCGGCCCGAAGCTGTACCAGGTGCAGTCCGAGTAGGGCCGCCGCGCCGCCGCTCTGGCGCCGTCCGCGGCCCGCTGACGCGAGGCCCAGTGGGTTGAGTTGGCTGGGGCTGGTCGGGAGAATTGGCACGCGCGACTGGTCGCCGAGCGTGTCTGTGTCAGTGGCGTGAGTGGCTGCGTTAGTACGCGCGGGTTCTCAAGACGTGATGCGAGACTCCTACGAATGTGTCTGTATGCGTGTCGTGCTGTGCAATGTGTTTCCGTTTGAGACGGCTTCTGAGCCTTACTGTGTATGAACTGTATCGTGTTGACATCGTCGAAATGTTTATTTACATGTTAGCGGGTTTATGAAGTCAAAGCATTTTACAGTTAATGAGATTAACCTGTGTAGACGAATTTGCTCTCAACAGCGAGCTGTTGAACCCAAGCAGCCGATAGAGGCTAGCGCTGACAGACAGGCAGGCGAATGGACGAGACTGACGTGTGTGCAGGCACATTGGTCCCATCAGCCGCGCGCCCAGGCGTGTGGAGTGTCCGAGGTCCCACGTTGGCGGTGACACGGCACATGCCGCGTAGAACTAGGATGAAGAAGGAGTGACTGCGATCGGGCGCGGTATGCTGACCCGCCCAGCAGCGGCTGGATCGCATCATGTTGCTGCAGAGGGAGGTCACGCGGTCAGAAGACGCACTGGGGGGGGGGGGGGGGGGGCATGCGTTTCGGACTCGCTGGCCGCCAGCCGTGCTGCACGCATTGCCTTATCTTCATACCACGGCTGGGAGGAACTGCTTTTTAAAGTGGCGTGCAGGGTAGATAAAACGTCGATCAGCTGTGCGTTGAAAAGTTGGATATCTCATCAGGAAGTCGGACCTCGGATCAATGGATGGCGGATCAAAGCTTGTCCGATGCCCTGCCAACTTTCCGCCAAGACACGGGACTTGGATAGACCAGGACAGGACTCAGTTTGAGTCATCAGATCCCCATTTGTCCCCACCGTAGAACTTGGCTGCACTCCGCTCGAAGCCCTTAGAAAAGTTACTCGTACTCCCACGGACCAGAAGCATCCCGTCGCCAATGCCTGCTTCACGCCGGTCGCGACTCGCGGCACACGGCCCGACCAAATGTCCTCAGATCTAGGCCGGCCCCGGTTCGAAGCACGCGGCCCGACCAAATGTCCTCAGATCCGGGACATAACTCTATATTGAATGGAGACTTCTAATGGCAAATGTCTAAAGCGAGGCCTTCAGACACCTGGCACCACTCAGTACAAATGCCGCCAATGCGGCGAATTTGTATTGAGAAATTGACGCACGACAGACGCTTTCCACCATTGCACAATTGCGTGCAAAGTAACGGGTGAACAGTTGCGTGGAAGGGGTGGCGGGATGCCGGTTTGATTAATCTGTCTCCTATTGGTAAGGATAAGCCAGGTTTTTGTTGCATCTCTAGAGGATGCCTGGTGGCCAGTCTCTTTACCGTGTTTATGCGCTAAAGCCCTTACCACGATGCTGCTGCACCAGCAATGAATGGTCAATGTAAGGTGTGCTTTTAAAATTGGCTTGGATTTTGCTGTTATGCAGGACATGTTTGGCCCGACATGTTTTTCAAGCTGAGTGGTATGTTGATCACTTCATGTGTCATCAGCAGTCATTTCCTGGCTATTTTAGGAAACTTGCCACTGAGATGAAACATGAAGAAAATAAAATTATGAGAACACTGAAGTGCAGAGCATTTTGAATATTGGATGTATTTTCATGTGACCACAAATTGCATAGATACAGGACACCTAAACTGACATTCCTTTTTGCATCCTGAGAGTGCTAGAAAACAAAGAAGGCAGAAAAATTGCGCAAAACATAATTTTTGGCCTTCCATGTTCAAGTCCAAATAAAGAGAAGTAGATGCTTTAGACTGGCATCCTGAGCAAAGTTTCACAAAGTTGTCTTATATGGAACTTGTGCAGCATAGCAGCAACATTGTGACAACAAATTCAGCACATGCATGATGTAACAAGCACCCAATGCATTTGTTGCTTGCCTGTGCTCTGAATTTGGTGCTTATGTCTGTGCTCTGAGATTGCAGATGACCCTGTGCCAAAGTCTGAAGACATACATTTACTGTGTTCATGTGCTAAAATGTTTGCCATGATTTTACTGATACACCATCAATAGTCAGTATAGAGTATATTTTTTAAACTGGCTAGTACCTTGCCATCATGCAGGACATGTTTGGCAGGACATGTTTTTCAAATGAGATGGCATGCTGATCACTTAATGTGCCAATAACAGTCATTTCCTTGCTATCTTATATGACTTGCTACTGAGATGAAACATGAAAAAACACAAATATGACAGCACCCGGGAGTGCAGAACATCTTGGACATTGGATGTATTTTCATATGACCACAAACTGCATAGATATAGGGTACCTAAATAAACATTCCTTTTTCATCCTGAGAATGTTAAAAAACAAAGAAGGCAAAAAAGTTGTGCAAAACATACATGTCAAAAAATTTCAGTGTAAAGAGGGCATATTTTGAAGGAATCATGCTGATGCAAAGGTTATTTCAAGCAATATCCAGAAAGTTATGTTGACCACAGGATTAATTGGAAAATTATATTCAATTTGTCCTGCCCTGAGTTTGATGCATAAATGTGCCAGGTTCAGCACACTAACATCATACTGCCATCCAAAGGCAAAAAGGCCAAGTGCCATAAGGCAAAATATCACCTTTTCTACAAAACTGCATCCAGTGCATTGGATGAAAGTAACTGATGTTTTGAACCAGTGCATGCCCTCACCAATCTTGGCTCAGGCTAAACTGTGCTGACTTTTTGCATGATTTTTCTAAGAGTGCTTTGTTTTTATCCTGAAAAAATTGGATTAGTTTGGAGGTATTTTTGTTTGCAATTATGGTTCTTAAGTTTTAATTTCTTCCAGAATTGCCTTTCCATGCTCTGGGACAGGATGATTAAGCTATTTTATATTGATGCAGTCTAGTGGCCATATCAAAGCTTGTTCATTGATGGCATCACATGTATTACAGATTGATTAATTATTAAGACTATCTTAATGCTCCTCTCAGTCATCTCAGTGGTAAATTGCCACACTTATGGTTGGAAGGCCCCAGTTCAAACTCAATAAATACTGAGGTTAATACTCGGAGTTCGACTCATATATATGACTGAAAGTAAAACATCATCCAGTTGTCCTCAGGACTTTACACCTGGCGATGCCTGGAGAATCAATCAGTTCAGATGTGGAGATATTGACATACCATTTGAGGATGGCAGTCCAAGCAGTGTCATCTGTAATAGTGCAGAATGTCTTCATTGTACCGACTCTGCTTGCTCTCACCCCCCATCTTGCCATAAGTCACCGCAGACTGCAGTGCTAATAATTTTCTTTTCTTACCTAACTGACTAACAAAGGTAACACACACCAAGCAACAACCAGTGCTCTAGTAGACCAGAGAACATTGCATGCTGTTTGAAGCTTGGTTGGTATGCATGTGGTAATGTTTTACTTGCATGACACTGAGTTATGTAGAATTGCATGAGCCCTTTCATGTGCAGCATGATAATCATTATCAGGCTAATGATGTTGGAATATTATGAACACCACATGTACCATTATGAATCAGGCTGGCACATGTCATGATTGACATGACTGCGTGAGTTTGATGTAGGGCTGGTTTGATATATCTGCCAAGTAATGGGAGCTGAATATTGAACCAACATGCATGACAGTGATCCTGTTGAAACATTTTATGCTTTGATCTCATTCCATCACGCTACTACTCTAAACTTAATAGCACATTTCTAGTCCTTGCTTCAACAGATTTAGTGGCTTCATGTCAAAGTAATTTGTTCTGTTAATTTAACTCACTTTTTAGCTGAGTTGTGCTTGCCCAATCAGCACTTTCTAGATCTTTGTTTCCCAGCACAGTTCCTTTCCCTCTGGATGTGGACCAAATCATGTTTTTTTTTCAAAATCAAACAACAGAATTCAATTGATGGAAGCCAATCAGCAGCTGACAGGTTGGAATAATCTATGTACTAATCTGAAGCATCTGGAATGATCTGGGAATATTGTGTGCTGTCTGTAGCTGGGCTTAAAGTACAGACTTTCAACCATGTTGCTCCTGAAAGCAACACATTTGTGGTCAACAAATAGCCTCAAGTTGTGCTGAACTGGCCTTTACTGGTGAAGCTATGTCCACACTGGTGATACCACCTGCACAAGTCGTGTCTGACACATCCATCTCTTCTCAGCAGTTGGGCCGGCCCTCTGAAACAAACCTAGGCCAAATGAGAGCTATCCAGCAGTATGTCTGGAGTGTCGGCGAATCAGGCAAGATTAGACAAGAGCAAGGCAAAGTATTCAACCATAAAAGTAAGTAAAATCTCCAGGTATGGGCTACTTATTGTCTATCTTCCTATGTTCACAAGATGGTGGTGCACCACTCCCTAACAAGCTCCGTTGTTAATAGGCACACACAGTGAGAATGAAAAAAATCAGTGTTATTTCTGGCTGGGATCACGAGTCTTCTGTGAATCATATGTGACCACTGAAATAATGTTAGCGTCATTTGGCCAGCTCACAACTCACTGGAAGCTATGCCTTTGTAACCACTGATCACACTTTCATGCAATTTTAAGCAATGATGATTGTAATTATGTAAACATTGCTGTATCACTTCAAAAAACATTTGTGGTGTGATCAGGCTTAGTTTTCTAACAACAATTTGATGTAATGAAATCATCAGCTCTGCATCTGGCTGAAATTGGAAACAAGCTTGCTAATTGCAAAAAGCTGCAAAGCATGGCTCGAAATGTTACCCATGTCTTGACAAAATGTTGTTGGAATGAAACAGAGCAAACACATTTTGGAGTAGAAAAGAAAGGATAATGTTGATAACAAAAGCCAGTGTTGTCGTTTGCAGCCAGTCACGGGCACTCGGGCGGAGACCAAAGGACCACCTGTCTGTCGTCTTTAAAAATAGCAGTCGGACTTGGGCAACCAGAGTAGAGAAACCAGCGGTATTGTCAGCTATACCATCTACAAACGACTAGATGATGTCAACTACCACTCAACCCGTAGCTGCATCAGCAATCGATCGTGAAACATGCAATTTTAGCATGATTACAGAATGTAATGGTCTAAGCTGAGTGTGATTAGGTCATGAAAACTACACAAGTTTGTAATCCAGTTTCGTGTAGTCAATTCCCACACAAAATGCTCATGTTTTTGCAACATTTCTACCGCAGTAGCGAAAGACGTCAACTACCGCATATTCAACCGTTCTGGATACTGTGAAAATGTTCAGACCTAGCCAGCAAAATTTCATTCAATGGGAATCGTGAATAATCTCGCGCACGCCACATCAGCGCACATCTGCCTGCTAAGCTCTCATAACTAACGAACTTTCCAATGCTTCTCCGCGGCTTCCGCCATTCATGTCATTCATGTCAGGGTGTCGAGACAGGCGACGCCATATAGCCTCAACAGCTGAGTGCGTCGTAAAGCTCTAACGACATAGCATACATTAACGAGAAACACGTGTAAGAGTTTTGAAGATGTTTGAGCTCCATTACTCAGGGTACAGAATCATCTTCACGGCTGAAACCGACAACTCTGCGTTCTGTTAGTACCTAACTTCGCCCGCCTCATGCCGCGCAGGATGTATAAGTCACGGTGCTGTTTTTTTCTCGATTGACTGGCACGTTTTTTGAGATTTTATATGTACTGGGCGTGTGTTTGCAGAATAAACCTGTGGGAAACCAGAATCGGAGCCCAGCCAACAGACATGGCCTACAGAGTCTGGGCAAGGTTGTGCCCACGCGAAGGATTCCTGCCCCCGCTAACCTGCCAAGGTCAGTAGTGGATAGCGTTAGGCGTTGGCGTGAAAATCGTGCCGCGCTTTGTCAGTGTTTCAAATGCGCGCTCGTAACCAGACGGATGTGAAGGGTGCTGGTGTTCTCCCATGGCATCCCTCTAGCACCCCGCTCAAACTACACCCCCTTCCCAACTCAGACCACCCCAGCACCCCTACCAGAACACCCAGCCCAGACCACCTCCATCACCTCTACCAGAACACCCAGCTCAGACCACCCCAGCACCCCTACCAGAACACCCAGCTCAGACCACCTGCAGCACCCCTACCAGAACACCCAGCTCGGACCACTCCCAGCACCCCTACCAGAACACCCAGCTCAGACCACCCCCAGAACTCCTACCAGAATACCCAGCTCAGACCACCTCCAGCACCCCACCAGAACACCCTGCTCAGACCACCTGCAGCACCCCTACCAGGACACCCAGCTCAGACCACCCCCAGCACCCCTACCAGAGCACCCAGCTCAGACCACCTCCAGCACCCCTGCCAGAACACCCAGCTCGGACCACCTGCAGCAGCCCCTACCAGAACTCCCAGCTCAGACTACCTGCAGCATGCCCACCAGAACACCCAGCTCAGACCACCTGCAGCACCCCTACCAGAACACCCAGCTCAGACCACCTGCAGCACCCGTACCAGAACGCCCAGCTCAGACTACCTGCAGCACCCCTACCAGAACACCCAGCTCAGACCACCTGCAGCACCCCTACCAGAACACCCAGCTCAGACCACCTGCAGCATCCCTACCAGAACACCCAGCTCAGACCACCTGCAGCACCCCACCAGTGGCTTGGTCTTCGCCAGCCACACGTTGTTGAAGTCAATATTGTGACAACAAAGTGTGAAGCGAAGTACTTGCACAAAGTTCAGTAAGGCATGTCGATCGCTCGTGCCAACCGAGAATGTACTATACAGGCGACAATTAAAGCCGAGGCGGCCGTGTTTTTGAAGTCTGGGCAAAAGGGGACATTTTGATTAAAGCGAAGCGGTCGCACAGCAGAGAGCCTGGCAGCTCGTGCGCGGCCCTCATACGGTCAAAAGACGCAGGGAAACAGTCAGCATCCAGGCGGGAGAATGCGTCAGTATCATTTTTTCTCTTTGCCATTGGAGGCTGATGGCGGCAGCAAATGCATGGGCTGCAGCAGCTGGTTTTCCTGTGCCCCATCTTCAGTTAAAGAAACCCTACGCGGAAAGTGAACGAGGACCGAATGGCATTGTGGTTCTCTTTTTGGCGGTTTGTTCCGTCACTGAAATCTGATGAGGCTATTTTGAACATCGGCCGTCGCTACCGTGACGCTGACCAGACGGCGACGCTGGAATAAGATGCCAATGACGTCTCCTGCCCGACATTAATGGGTCCACACCGGACACTGCGTGGTGCGGCGTTTCCGCGCCCGCGTAATCTTCGAGACTGGGCACACGCGATTTTCGACCTTCGTAACCGCAGTGCGTGTGACGTGGCGCGAACTGCTGTTCCAAAAGATCGTGCTCAGTTCAAGTGCCATCCGACATTCACTATGTTTGGAGGTTAACGTGTTCCTATCGTCGTTCAGAGAATCATATGTATGTTTCGGGCCATGCGGTTTTGTCACCTGTCCATGCCAGTTTGCATTCGTCGACATTCCGTAGTGTCCATGTCTATTGTCAAAGCATCAGTAATTATCCGAACAATCATGTGCACGAGTTCTGGCAGAATGCAACAAAGGCTGACTCGTTCGCCATTTCATGCCAAGTCCTGACAAGGACTTTCCTAACCGAGGTATGTTGTGGCCGTTATTCATGAGTCGGCTCAACACCCGGCCTGGCTGAAGACCCCCCTGACCGCCCGCACAAACTCCGGGTCATGGTTGTCCAGAGCAAGTTGACTGCCTCATGTTATCGGCCACACCTGTAGAGAAAATAGCCATTTGTTAACATTTGGAACTAACGTTTTTTGCAAATGCAGCTCAGTCTGCTAAGGTTAGCTGCCGAATTTTGGGATTATTCGGCGAAAGCTTCAGCGATTATCTTCAGAAATATTATGACAAAAGTCTTCAACACCGACATCAGAGGGCTCTGCGCGTTAGGAAGACTGCTGCGGTCTGAAGGGGGTGGAGGCCACCGGCAAGCGGTCCCTGGATGGATGGTCCGATTCGGCGCCTCCGCTCGGAGCTGGGGGAAGCTTGTATACGGCGGGAGGGCCTCATCCGGCGGGCTGAGTCCTCTGTATGGTTAGCCAGGCTCCCAATAGGTAGATATGGCACTGCCTCGAAACCCGAGAGCGCTTCGGATCTGTTGGAGCCACTACAACATGGGATTGACGTTTTGCGAAGGAACCGAGGTTTCTCCCATGGCGAACTGGTGTGCGAGCGATGCGGGAAGATCCTCCAGACTCAGTGGATCTACTCTAGGGCTCGCTAAACCCTGCCAGACGCATTGGAGCCTCAGCACAGTCAATGGGCAGTGTCCCTCTTTTCCCTCTGGGCAATGTCCATCAATGGGCGGTAGCCCTCCAGAGGAGACGCGGGCCTTCTTCAGGGTGGGCAGACTCTCGCTAGCTGGAAAGGCGTTTTACCGTGAAAGGACTCCTGGGTGTCCGACCTCGACCTAGACCTTACGTGATGAAACCGGTTTGCAATCGCGCTTCACAAGCTTTAGCTACACAAAATAAAACCGTTGACGTACTGTGCAGGTCGTTTAGTGATGGCAGTTTTGGGAGAACTTGGCAACACTTTTCGCACCCTTACTGGGTATTGCAGTAACCAGCTCCGCGCACGTATCGCATCTTACGCGGCTTGGATTGCGAGAGCCGATAAATTTCTTGCCGGGAAGTTACACTGTGTTATACTCAGTGGAACAAACATCATTCGTGTACACGTCTGTGTGAATCACCGACTTCCACTCAGAGATATTGAGAACAGAACGCCGTCACATGCTCCAGTCTTGCACTGAGCGCCTTCCAAGCAGCGGCTGTATCATGTAACTACCGGCATTGTATGTTTAGGTGTACAGCCAGGCGCTGCAGTGACGACTTCAGCGCGTCTACAATGACATCAGCGCACGTCGAGATGTTGATTTTGTGTTTTTTGCGTTTCCGCGCGTGCCCGTTGGCTGCCTCCGCTGTTCGCGCTGCAGCGCGAGAGCCTTCTTCTGAACTCTGCGAACGGCGCTGGCTGCCATTGTGCCACAATTGTGCTGCCATTGACCCAGAATTACAGGAATGCGTTGCTTTGTGCATGGAATGCTAAAATGACCTTTGCCAGTATGGTCCTTACATCAGACAATGCCCGCAGCTATATTTATGTTGGTATCCACGGTGGACCGAAGTACCTGCAGCGCTGTTGGTAGCTTGTTTCTAAAAGCGATTAGACATCAAATTTTCTTCATGGCCTGCCATGGTAGCCTCGTCAACTGCATGCCATGACCACTCTTTCCACGCAGCGAATGGAGGGGGGGGGGGGAGGGGCGCATTTATGCTGAGCGCGCTAGGGCATGTATATTTTTTCTTTATTCGGATTGGCCACGGGCATGTTAAAAAAAACGTCACACTATTTCTTGGGCTGTAACACCTCACTGTCCAGCTCCATAACACCAGTGTAACATTGGCTTCCTTGGTTTCAGCTTGAAGGCCGAGAACAGTGGTAACGACCCGAACGTTTTCCTCGTACCGCTGGGCGGTCAGGGATGGGGATCCAGTAATGGCTCCAGCTCGGCATCGGACAGTCAGAAGAAGGCGGCCGGTGGTGCGGCCAGTGGCGCGGCGGCGGCGGCGGCGCCGGCGCCGGCGGCTGCCGCCCCGACCGCCGTCCCCTCTGGGCCGCGCACCTGGAGCGGCGTGACCGTCCGGCGCGGCGGCGGCGCCGCCCTGGCGGCCCGCCGCCAGTCGGCCGGCTTTCAGCGAGACTTCCCCTCGCTTGGCCCGGCGGCGAGACGACGCCGGGCCGGCCAGCACGTGGCAGTCCCGCCGCCGGCGCAGCAGCCGCCGCCGCCAGTGGCGCCGCCGCCGCAGCCGGCTGCTGAGAGCGCGGCGCCCAGCCTGCGCCCGACCACTGCCGGCAGCGGGGCCCGCGGCGGGGGACGTCGGCCCGAGCCGGCGGGCGGTGCGCCGGCCGCCGCGCGCCGCCCCGGCGGCCGCCGTCGCCGCCACGACGCTGGCGCCGGCCGGCCTGGGTGGCCCCACCTTCATGCCCAACTTCAATGACCTGATGCCGGCGTACATGCGACCGGCCGGTCAGTCGGCGCCGCTGCTGTCGCGGTCGCAGCCGACGCCGCCGCAGCCGACGCCGACGCAGCTGCCACAGCCGCAGCTGAAACAGCAGCCGACGCCGCCGCAGCCGCCGCAGCCGCAGCCGCAGCCGCCGCAACCGCAGCCGCAGCCGCAGCCGCAGCCGCAGCCGCAGCCACAACCGGTGCCGGCCGAGACGCCGCCCGGACCGGCGATAGACCAGGCCCGGCCCGGCAACCATCGACCCATCATCAGAGATGAAGACCTGCGCAGCTTCGACGATATCGCCAATAAACAGGACAAAGGCTGGGCGGCCGGCGTCGACGACATCGATTACAAGTAATTGTGTTGTGGGATTACTGCTGTGCGTCTCATTCGGGCTGTACGGTATTATTGTCTGCATCAGATGGTGCGAGAAATTTGTCGTGCGTTTTCGCAAACATCTGTACATATAGTAAGTTTTTAGGCATGCTGTTTTACACGTTAAGTTGCCGGCCAAATTGCTATCTAGACATAAGGATGTGTTCACAGCTTCGTACTTGTGCACCTGCGGTTCCTATGCCTGTCGTGGCATACCAGTATTTGGCTCAGCTGAAGTGTGCAGGTTGACCTAGCTTGCGTGACTGCCACAGTGCACACGTGGGGCGTTGTGCGTTTCCAACGTCTCTCTCGGTGTCTACAGCAAGAAGCTGACGTTCTCGGACGACGACAGCGAGCCGGAGCAGGGCGTCGGGCCGGAGCTGCGGGCGCCGGAGCCGCGGCCTGGCGCGCCCCTCGCGGCCCGGCCCGGCCAGCGGCCCTCCTACCCCGGTCAGTGGCGACAGGGACGTGGCGTGCGTCACTGCGTCGCGCTCCTAGACGTGAGCTGTTCAGTAGCTGCGCCGGTGCGACCGGAACGTGAAGCGTTACCAGAACAAGTTATCTCCCGCCTAGTAATGTACTGTCACCATTTGTCCTGAAAGGGGAAGGTTCCCTGCACAGGAAGATGTGCTTGTCAATGAGTTGCGAATGGGAGAGAGTGGCAATGGGGTCAGTTTCATGCACAGCGTCCAGCCGCGTGCGTGTGCGTGTGGCTGTATGTGTTTTGCATTGCATGACCTCTGCGCACATTCGACGCGTCCCCAACCGGTCGCTCGGCGTGCCCGGCAGACTCTTCGCCGTTCGCGCGGCCGGTGGCGGCCCGGCGGACGCGGCGGCGGCGGCGGCCGAGCGGCGCCGGGCCGACGAGGAGGAGGCGGCGGGCGCGCCGGCGCCAGTCGGAAGAGGTGGCGGTCGCGCTGGAGCGCGCGCGCCGCCGCCGCCAGCAGGAGGAGGCGCGGTTCGAGCGTGGGCGCCAGGAGGCGGGCGGCGGCCGCGACGAGGCGGCGCCCTTCTCGCGCGCCTTCCAGTCGAGCCTGCCGCCGCGCTTCCAGCGCCAGCAGTCGGCCGGCCAGGAGGAGGCGCGCCCCGCGCCGGCTGCCGCCCGCCCCGGCCTGCAACGTCAGAACCGACACGGCGACGACGCACGCTTCAGCCAGCGGCCCGGCGAGGGCGGCTCGCCGGAGCCCAGCCACCGGCAGGCGGGCGGGGTGAGTCGGTCGCGGCCGCTCGCCGAGCTTCGGGCAGCGCACACGGACACCGATCGTCCTGTTGGAGCATACCACGTGACGACGTTTCGATAATCCGTTCTGTGGTAACTAGTGCCACCGCAGCGAGCCGGCAGGCCTTTAGCGCGCGTGATGCCGAATTTTTTTAGGTGACCTGCGTGCCGGAGATTCCATAAAACTATTGGTGATGTGAAGTGATGCAGTTGTTGCATCGTTGCAACATATCATGCGTGAAATAACACCGGCCCGTCTTGCCTGACGACCCGTGTCCGTTTCAGCGAACCTGGAGAACGTCATCGACCGGCAGCAGCGAGCGGGCCAAGTCGGAGGAACCGAGCGGGCGGCCGGCCGACGCCGACGAGGCCGCCGACGGCGAGTGCGAGTACGGCGCCTCCTGGGCCGACCAGCTGCAGGTGGAGGTGTCGCCGGCGCTGACGGCGCTGCAGAGCGCCGAGCGGACGCGGGGCGACAGCGGCGAGCGCGGCACCGCCGCCGCCGCCGCGCCGCCCGCCTGGTCCGGGCGTGACGACGAGCTGCGGCGCCGAGAGCGCGGCGGTCGGCCGCGCGGCCCGCCGCCGCCGCGCCGGCGCACGAGCGGCTGCCGGAGGCTGACCGGCAGCGGCAGGCGGCCGCGCGGCGGCAAGGCCTCCGCCGAGAGCAGCGAGGGCTCGCCGGGCCCGGACGGAGAGCTCGGGGCGGGCCGGCCGTGGCGCGGCGCCGGGTGGGCCGCGGCGCGAGGCCAACCCGGCGGACAGCCGAACCCGACCGCGCCACCCGGCTCTGAGCACGCCCAGACCACGGTGAGTCGGGGTGCGACAACGACGGCGGCAGCTTTGCCCTCGGTTGGTGTGCTGGAGCAGTTAGGGTGTCGGTCCGTCCCCGGATCTCGTTTGCTGGTGTGGCTTCATTCGCTGCTGGCTCGGCGTACTGGTGTGGGCCCTGTTGCTGGTGCTCCCGGTGCTTGACCAGGCCGGCGGGCGCTGTTGCAGACCGACTATGCCGGTGCGCAGGATGCTGCGCAGCAGCCAGCGGCACACTCAACCGCGGGCCAGCAACCGGAGCGGGCCGAGAGGCGTGGCGACGGCAGGAGCAGAATTGAGAAAGGACAGGAGGAGTCAAGGAGAAGGGGTCGGTCGTGGGGAGAGGACGGCAGCAAGAAGGAAGGAGAGGGCAGGACCGCCGGCCGCGAGGGAGGCGTGGGCAGGAGCGACCGTAAGCGACGGCCGAACGAAGAGGCGGCCGGTGACGGCGAGCCGGCGCGGGCGCGGCGCGGCCGCGGCGCCGGCCGGGCACGCGACGGCGCGGCCGCCGGCGGGGCCCGCGGCCCGGCGCCGACGGCGACGAGCCGGCCGGCGGCGAGCGCTGGGGCGTAGGCCGCCTCGAGCAGGTGCCGCCGCGCTTCCAGCGGCGCCGCGACGCGCCGCACGCTGCCACCGCCGAGCTCGGCCCGACGGCCGCGCCGGCCGAGGACGGCGGCTGGGAGGCTGGCGAGGCGCACCCGCCTGGAGCCGGCCAGGCCAGGTCGGACGAGGGGTCGAGGAGGCCGTTCGACTCGGCCAAGTCGGCGCTGACCGGGCTGGATGACTGCGACGAGGAGGAGCGGCTGGTGTACAGCGCGGCCATCATCCACCAGGCGATG